TGTAGTGTCTCTACTTTAAAGAGTCCTCTCCTGCTGATGTTCAGGTGTATATCAGTATGTAGTGTCTCTACTTTAAAGAGTCCTCTCCTGCTGATGTTCAGGTGTATATCAGTATGTAGTGTCTCTACTTTAAAGAGTCCTCTCCTGCTGATGTTCAGGTGTATATCAGTATGTAGTGTCTCTACTTTAAAGAGTCCTCTCCTGCTGATGTTCAGGTGTATATCAGTATGTAGTGTCTCTACTTTAAAGAGTCCTCTCCTGCTGATGTTCAGGTGTATATCAGTATGTAGTGTCTCTACTTTAAAGAGTCCTTTCCTGCTGATGTTCAGGTGTATATCAGTATGTAGTGTCTCTACTTTAAAGAGTCCTCTCCTGCTGATGTTCAGGTGTATATCAGTATGTAGTGTCTCTACTTTAAAGAGTCCTCTCCTGCTGATGTTCAGGTGTATATCAGTATGTAGTGTCTCTACTTTAAAGAGTCCTCTCCTGCTGATGTTCAGGTGTATATCAGTATGTAGTGTCTCTACTTTAAAGAGTCCTCTCCTGCTGATGTTCAGGTGTATATCAGTATGTAGTGTCTCTACTTTAAAGAGTCCTCTCCTGCTGATGTTCAGGTGTATATCAGTATGTAGTGTCTCTACTTTAAAGAGTCCTCTCCTGCTGATGTTCAGGTGTATATCAGTATGTCGTGTCTCTACTTTAAAGAGTCCTCTCCTGCTGATGTTCAGGTGTATATCAGTATGTAGTGTCTCTACTTTAAAGAGTCCTCTCCTGCTGATGTTCAGGTGTATATCAGTATGTAGTGTCTCTACTTTAAAGAGTCCTTTCCTGCTGATGTTCAGGTGTATATCAGTATGTAGTGTCTCTACTTTAAAGAGTCCTTTCCTGCTGATGTTCAGTTGTATATCAGAATGTAGTGTCTCTACTTTAAAGAGTCCTCTCCTGCTGATGTTCAGGTGTATATCAGTATGTAGTGTCTCTACTTTAAAGAGTCCTCTCCTGCTGTTATCCCTGTGTAAACGTGAACATCACTTTTTTTTCTGCAGAAGAAGTGTGAGCGTTACTGGCCTGAAGAACAGGATCAGCAGTTTGTCTGCGAGCCGTTCACAGTTTACTGCGTGAGTGTTTCATTTCTCACAATCACAACTTCTACATCTGCCAGTCCCAGAGCAGACATTATGATCTCACACTGCTCTTATTATAAATACAGAATATTACTCACCTGATGCACTGCTGGGTGTTTGTTTGCAGGACTCTGAGGACATAAAAGGAGATTATCTGACCAGGATGTTACGGGTGACTTATGGCAACGTAAGATGTTTTTTCTGACTGTTCTGTGGGAATAAATGAGTGTTAGATCTCCTGAAACCAGCACGATGCTATCAGCTGACTTTGTTGTTAGATGCTGCAAAAACAGTTTGAATCTCACGTCTCAATCTAAAGTCCAGTAAAATCATTCCATGTATGAAAATCTTTCCTAAAAACCAAGGTCACGACCTGGTCATGTTATTAAATGTGCTCTGGAAACATGCATAAGATAAGATAAGATAAGAAAGGACTTTATTTATAGGTAGCCCTCCCGTTAGTCAACCAGTCGCAGGATAAATTAAAAAAAGTTAATTCCGTAACTAAATACGCACACAGATAAACAAAATTCTATACATACATACACATACATATCAGAAATAATCAATTTTACCGGACAAATTCTAAACTTACCGGTCATGTTTCAATGTTATAATAATAACAAGAATTGTGTAGCAGAGTTTCCATTAGCAGGTAATTACCGGACTATGATCCAGTAATGAGTGACCCGACAGTGAAGAATAATAATATGTATAACTAGTATAGCTTTTTCCAAAGGTAGATAAAATAGCTAAGTGTGTTAGGTCTAACTTGAAGTGTGTGTTTTGCTCACCGGTCCGTCACAGCGGGGGAGCTGCAGGTGATCCTGATCTTTCTCTCTCATCCGGTTATACTTCACTCGCGTTTATGTCCATATCGATCAGATCCAGCTAGCATTAGCGGTGAAGCCATTTTGGCGAGCTCCTTTTGCCGCGCACAGAGAAAAGTCTCATGTATTTTGCATCATCTGATCGGCTCTCCTGATCGGCCTTTATAGAGAGCACCGATCAAACTATTAAGAGTGAATATCGGCCGATAATGATCGACGGCCGATCGATCGGAGCATCCCTAATTATTACCGGACATTTTGACCGGCAGATTTTTTTATTGACTGGTTTTTCATCAATTTTACCAGCCAAAAACCAGTAATCAGCGGCTAACGGAAACCCTGACTGAAAATTATATATATATACACATACATATGTACACATATACATACACCCATTGCCGGGGTGAAAAAAAAAAATAATAATAATTTCAATAAAAAAAATTACATGTTCTGATAAAGTCAAAGCAAGGTATCAGGATTTGTCGCAGCTCGCCCGAAGAGACTTTTGCCATCAATGTCCCAACTTGTTCAGTCTGTTGGCATCATTGTTATTGTTTATTACTTTGTTCCAGTTGTTTATTACTTTGTTCCAGTTGTTTATTACTTTGTTCCAGTTGTTTATTTCTTTGTTCCAGTTGTTTGTTCCAGTTGTTTATTACTCTGTTCCAGTTGTTTGTTCCAGTTGTTTATTACTCTGTTCCAGTTGTTTATTACTCTGTTCCAGTTGTTTGTTCCAGTTGTTTATTTATCTGTTCCAGTTGTTTATTACTCTGTTCCAGTTGTTTGTTTCAGTTGTTTATTACTCTGTTCCAGTGTAGTCGCACCGTGCAGCAGCTGCAGTACTTCAACTGGCCGGATCACGGCGTGCCGGACTCCGTCCCCCCGATCCTGGACATGCTGCAGGAGATGAGGTCGTACCAGGAGCACGACGACGTGCCCTTCTGCATCCACTGCAGGTCAGAGGTCAACTACATATCCTCCACCATCCATCTATTAGGAATAATGATGGCCATGTTTGCAGCATTTAAAATATTAATTTATAATATTTGAATTATTATTTGATTTATTTGAGTTTTTAGGTTTCTTTTTTTGTGTTTTGTTTACGTTGCTTTTTAAATATTCAAACTGCTTGCACTTGAACAAAAATATACAGCAACTCGGTGAAACTGCAAATTTGCAGACTGCAGACGACACACTTTTGTATTCACCCAAACATCTAACTGTCTGACAGCTAAAAGAGTTTTGCAATTAAAACAATTTGATATTAATAAGGAAGAAATAGATTCCAATGAAAACATCCCATTGGACCAGGGAGATGCTGCCTTCAGGGACCTGTCAGGGTTGGGGGAAAATAGGACCCAAGTGCAGTAAAACATAGAAAAAGGTTTGGTAACAAAAAGCGAGCTTTATTAAAAAAAGCCGAAAACAAGAAACTAATTAACATTAACAAGACCGGGGAGCACGACAGACAGGAACAAACTTACAGGCGGGAACAGGCAGGAGACATGGACTAGCATAGACAGGTAGCATGGACATGAAACGACGGGCAGACATGGAGCACAGGGGAAGACAAGACTAAATACACAGCAGGGTAATCACAGGACAAGACACAGCTGGGCAGGGGAGGCAGAAACACAAGGGCAACAGGTGAACACAATCAGACTATTATTATTATTCATTTATATTCTTGTTTTGTTTATTTTAATTATTTTATGGTTTCTTTGTTTTTGTTTTGTTTACGTTGCTTACACATCAATACCTAGAGATTACATCAAAACTTTTGCAAAACAGGTTTTAAGGCAAAAGGCTTGCACTCTGTGTCAGTACACATTTAACAACGTGTGTATTTACCTTTAAAAAAATCTTAAATAAATACTTTACACTTTGTCCAATCCATTTAAATGTGTAAAACAATTCATGCAATTCAACATAAAGTGTGAAGTGTCAGTTATTGATTGTGATACAGACAATATTAATGAATAATAATCATCAGTGATGGACAGGGTTAGTTTTGTTGCAGGATCACACGCACCAAGGGTCTCAGAGTATTCAGAGCATTATGGGAGTGTGTAGAGTGTGTGTAGAGTGTGTGTAGCCTGTGGTTAGAGTCTGTGTAGTGTGTATAGAATGTGTGAAGCCTGTGGGCAGCGTGTACGGTTCATCATCACCTGGCTCTTCTTAAACAGGAAGTGTGTGTAGGCGTGAAGCCAACGACCCGCCAGGTCCTAAAGCGCGTGTGTGTGTATGTGTGTGTGTGTGTGTGTGTGTGTGTGTGTGTGTGTGTGTGTGTGTGTGTGTGTGTGTGTGTGTGTGTGTGTGTGTGTGTGTGTGTGTGTGTGGCCATTTCCTCTCACTGACTCTGTGGCTGATTTTAAACCCACACGTCTCTCTTTTCTCTGAAACTCAGGTCACTTGTTGTTTATAGAAATATTTTGCTCAGTAAATTCAGTAAATGTGTTCTTTGACAACAACACAATCACAGGTTTTGAGTCAAAGCCTGAACATCTTGAGGACTGAATAAGAGCTGTAGTGTTCTTATCGCAGGGTGCGGTTAGGACCAGAAAATCCAGAATATCATGACACAAAGTTTCAGAATCTGTTGGCAGCGCCACGGCCGACGCCTCGCTCACCTCTCAACCACTTTAATAATAAAGCAGGAGTTCCTTCAGCCGCACAGGACTTTAAAACTATTATTATAATGAATACAACACTGTTTATATTGTGATATGCATGCTATATGTTGTAGCACACTGTGCACACTTGAATTGAACTTATAACATGGCTTAGTTGAATACTCGATTCTGACCGTTGTTAAGGACGCTCACATCTGCAGAAAGAAGTCCGGTCGATTTAACTGTATACATTTTTGAATTATTTTATCTTATTTAATATTTTATTGGACATTTTATTTGTAAAAAATATATCATTTTAATTAAATGTACACGGCCGACGTCTCTCTCACCTCTGAACCACTTTAATTTCAATCAGGAGAGACTTATTCCGTAAGTTTGATAACATATTTATTGCCCAAGGGGTAATATACATTTTGGAGATTAGACCCCATACTGTGATGGATTTAGGGGGAGGAGAAGCCGACTAGGAAAAGAGAAACCCCCCCCCGGGGTCTAGACACTGGTAGTGGTGGAGTTATTATTATTATTATTATTATAATGAATACAACACTGTTTATATTGTGATATGCATGCTATATGTTGTAGTACAAAGTGAACCTGTTTATGTGAGGATGTTTTATCTGTTATTTGACATTTGTTTTTTACTTGAACTTCTTTTATTGCTATCAACTTTTCTACTTAATGTGTGTTTGTTGCAGTGCCGGCTGTGGGAGGACGGGCGTTCTGTGTGTCATCGATTACACCTGGAGCCTCCTGAAGAAACAGGTGAGATGTCCTGCCTCCAAACCTCCTGCACATTAAGACAGTTCGTTAAATAGTAAAGTATCTAACAGTGAACACCTGTGTCTGTGTTCAGATGATCCCTGCAGATTTCAATATCTTCGACATCGTGCAGAGCATGAGGACTCAGAGGCCGTCCGTGGTTCAAACTAAGGTAACAGCGTGTTGTTATTTTAACATTTCCTCCAACAAGCACAGCCACATTGTCTCATTCCTCCTGCGGCTGCTTCCTCCTGTCGGTTTGGATGTTTGTGCCTCAGGCTTTGAGTCACCTCACAGAGCCGGTTTGTGTTTCTGTGTTTAATCTCAGGAACAATACGAGCTGGTGTACAGGACGATCCGGCTGCTGTTTGAGAGGTTCCTGCAGGAGGAGCAGAGCGTCAGAGAAGTGAGAAGACACAAGCACTCGCTAAGATTTAAGATAGATAAAGCATTACATCAGCAGAGCGTCAGAGAAGTGAGAGGACACAAGCACTCAGATTTAAGATAGATAAAGCATTACATCAGCAGAGCGTCAGAGAAGTGAGAGGACACAAGCACTCAGATTTAAGATAGATAAAGCATTACATCAGCAGAGCAGAAACAAGCAGTACTTTAAGGCTGATTTATAAAAGCAGTCACATGATTGAAGTGCAGAAGCATTGGAATTGCAGATCGACTTAGATACGATTCGATCAAATACGATAACATACAATGACAGAAGATACGACTAAACACAACACGACAAGATACGATACGATATGATAAGACATGATACGGGAAGACATGATACGAGAAGATACGACTGGACACGATGCGTCACGATGCGTCACGATACGTCACGATGCGTCACGATACGTCACGATCAGTGTTGGGACTAACGCGTTACAAACTAACGCGTTACTGTAACGCAACTACCTTTTGCGGTAACTAATAACGTTACTAGTTACCTATTCCCATTCAGTAACGCCGTTATAGTTACTGTGATTTAAATGGGTGCGTTACTGCGTTACATTATGTGGTCCAACTGAACCGAATCTCCCTGCGGATGTAACTTACAGGCGAATACAGTGATGTCCTCTCACAGTACCATGGAAAAGTGAAAGTGACCAGAGAGGAGTGATGATTGGTTAACGCAGGTAACATTTCAGGGTAAGCCAATCAGAGACAGTTCAATCAGAGTTGGGCGGGTCTTGCCTTATGGGGAAAATACACAGACACACAAACACTTGCTAACACACACACATACACGGCAACGCCCACCAGCACACACACACACACACAATGGCAGATGCAAGTATCAGCGAGAGCAGCAGCGCATTTACAACTTGGAGATATAACCACTATTTTCAATTTGTGGGGATAAAGGACGCAAAAAATATTACGGTCAAATGTAAACTGTGTGCAGGACAGAAAGCATTGTCCACATCGAATAACAGCAAATCTAATCTCCTGAAGCACCTAACTAATGTACATGGGGCTATAAAACTAGTCGCCAAAGACCCCACCGTCTCAACCACCGGCAGTGACCCAGATGGAGCAACACCATCTAAACAGCCAAAAAACGCCACATGTCACCTAGAGTCAACTAAACAGATTGATTGCCAGGTATGTTGTTGAGGACATGCTGCCCATCGCAACGGTCGAGTCTGTTGCCTTCAGAGAACTAGTCAGCAAAATACCAGTGAAAGCAGTGAAAGCAGGGCCACAGTGCAGAAAGACCTTTTCCAACAACACAAAAACTTGTATTTTTATTGTTATTATTTTTAAAGTAAAATAAAGTAACTTGTTACTAGTTACTTTTTTAATTTAGTAACTAATAAAGTAACTAGTTACTTTTTTGAGAGCAGTAACTATAACTATTACTAGTTACTTTTTAAAAGTAACTTGCCCAACACTGGTCACGATACGTCACGATGCGTCACGATGCGTCACAATGCGTCACGATACGTCACGATGCGTCACGATATGTCACGATGCGTCACGATATGTCACGATGCGTCACGATATGTCACGATGCGTCCCGATGCGTCATGATACAATTAGATACGACACGACAAGACACGTTAAGATATGATACTATACGATAGGAAAAGAGACGAGAAGACACAAGATCAGTAAGATGCTATATAAAAAGAGACTCCACGATACAATAGGTGACGATTCGATACGATTCGATACGATACGATACTCTACACTAAAAGACGAACGTATACGACGCGATTAGTTTACATATTTACGGTAACTGTTTACGTAGCATTATTGCATTTCATCACCTTTCCTTCATTAATGTAGTGTTCCCCTCCCCTCTCAGATAGCGAGGGTCTCTCCCTCTGCTCCCCCCAACACAGAGAGCTCCCTCTCAGACCTCAGTGATGAAGAGGAGCAGCTTCATCAGTGCCAGCTGCTGCAGCAGGAGGAAGAGCACTCTCACTCCCTGCCCACTCCAGCAGGAAACTACATTACCCAGAAGGCCACGGTGCTGCAGGAGGGGGTCCGTCTGATGGTGGAGGATCCGTACTTCGACACCCCGATGAGTTCCCCGTCCTCAGAGGACTCGAAGTGGACCGCCAGCCCCTTGTTTAGCCCCCCCGCCCTGCACCTGAACGACCAGGAGCTGAACTCACCTGTCGCAGGTACATTTCTTTATTATTTTGTTTCTATTTAATTGAATTGTATATCCGTCTTTTATAGTGTTTTTAATGTTTCAAATGATTCTTCATCTTTCCTTTTTTGTGGATTTTCTTTATATTTTATACTCTGTAGTGACTCCTGGTCCTGGCAGAGATGATGAAGAGGACGCTCCTCCTCTTCCTCAACGAACCCCTGAGTCCTTTGAGATGGCTGCAGGTCCAGGTCGCTCTCCGGCAGAGAGACAGGAGCTGATGAGCGTTCAGACGTTCCAACACAACCAGGGTCTGCACCCCAAATATACAGATACATTTTATTTGTTTGTATTATTTATTCTACTATTTCAACAATCAGACAATGTATACATCCGACAAACAGACAGAATGAGTAGAAGCAGGAGAGCAGAGAGCAGAGTTTATCCAGAGGTATTTCTCCTGCTAGTCGTCCAGCTGCAGAAGAAAGACAAAGATAAATCCCTAATTAAATATGCACACAGATAAACAAAGTTATATACTACAGTATGTACATATATACATCTACCAGTCCATGTTCAGAACAGGACAGGAGTTTCATTTCTCATCCTATATTTATATAAACTATAATGCTTAAAGGTGGGGTAGGTAAGTTTGAGAAACCGGCTCGAGATACACTTGTTGTTATATTCCATGGAATGCTCTTAACATCCTGATAGCAATGAATATCTGAAGTGCTTTGACAACAAATCCATAAAGAAATATCATCTGTGGAAGCTGTAGTACTGTAAAAAGCACGACCAATCATCTGAGCCGGCCCGGCTAAAATAACTGGATGGCCTACCTGCCTGTCAGCCTTCCATCTGTGCACAAACTTATCTCGTGCCCTCATTGGTCATGTGCGCGTTCGTGTGTGTTGGAGGGGCTCTGTGAGGAAGTGGCAGATTGTGTATTTTCAAATTCTCCCGCACTCGAGCTGGTTTCTCCAAAATGACCTACCTCACCTTTAAGATAATTATGATAATAGTCATTATTATCATTATAGTTATTATAATTATAAGTTGAGACCATTCCATAGTTGTACACCTAATATGGATAAACTGTGTGATTTAATGCTTGTTCTGTAAGGCTTTCTACACAAATACACATATATATATATATATATATATATATATTGTGATGTCACGAGAGGGTGCATCATAGAGGGCAGGTCCATTGCCTCTCGGTGGATGCAACAGGGACTACAACTCCCATAATCAGCAGGGCATTAGGGAAGATGGCTGCTGCCCAGCTGAAGACTGACAAAGCAGGAGGGAGACAATGTGCAGAGAGAGGAGACGTTGAGCACTGTTGACGATGTGCTTATTTACTTTCTATAGCACTTAGCAAAAGTCCTTAGTTAGATGAATCCTTCTGTTTTGTTTGTAAGTGACGATGTAAGTTTGTGATGGCTGTAAGAAGACGAAAATACACCTGGGCCGTTTCTCAATCGCTTCCAAGCCAATATTTCAAGGATGCTACGTCATCAAGTGGCGCAGCAGGACCGTTCCAATGTCCAGCATACTTGGAATTCCACCGAGGCCCGCGTCCTTGGTTTGGGGGAAATTTCGAGGCTGCACATGGGTAGACTTCCGCGTCCTTAAAATCCCACAATGCTTTGCGGCACGGACCAATTTCCCCCAAATCTGTGGCGGAAGATGTAAGGAGGCGGGGCCTCTCATATGACGCACACCTGCACACTTGCTAGCCTGTTCCACTCTTCGTTTTCCGAATGCCAGGAAGGATTCTTGCCTCGCTTCTGAAGGAAGTGACTCTGAAAGACATGTGCTACCAAGCAAGCGTCCTCGACTTTGAGAAACACCCGAGGTTAAGTTGGAAATCGCTGCCTGCTGTCTTTTATTCATCGCACCTCAAGCTGAAGATCCCTTCCCCTCAAGACATCACAATATCTATACCCCCAGCATGCATCACTTCGCCACATGGGCTTCAGAATAGATATTAATGTTACTCTGTGTTTCAGAGCCCGCCCCCTCCTCTGATTGGCTGATGGTCATCATCCCTCCAAACGCTGCTGCTGGAGGCTCTCAGGGAGTTAGGAGGTGAGGAAGAGGAGGAGGAGGAGGAGGAGGAGGAGGAGGATGATATTTCTGTTTCAGCTCGTTGTGATTCATTTACTAATTGACGTTCCCCCTCCCCAGGTAACCCCCCCTCACCTGTGCCCCCTCTCCCAGAGAGAACACCCTGAGTCCTTCGAGCTGGCCCTCGATGAAGGTGACTCCATTCATAACGAATAAACAAAACACGTTTTTAATGCAATTTTGTTTAATTCCAAAAAAAAGTGTTTTTAAATCATAAAAAACACTTTTATTAAAATATCTTTGACTCGCCGTTGAAACGTCTTCCTCTCGCCGCCCTTCAGCCTTGGTGCAGCAGAGGTCAGAGGTCGGAGGTCAGAGGTCAGAGGTCACGGCGACCCGGAGCCGGATCGGCACGTCTTCAGAGTGGAGCTCCTCTTCCTCCTCCTCTTCATCACCTCACACCGAGAGCAGAGCCTGGATCAGGAGCAAGGTGAGTTCAATAGAGAGCCGCAGTGACGCGTCCTAAAAACAGGAAGTGAGTCAGCATTTCTCCACTTCCTGTTCCCTGGTCTCAGAGCCAATGGGATCTCTCCATAGGATTTAGGAAAATATCTGGAACTAAGGTCTGTGGTTGAGACACATTGAAGAGACGGGTCACGTTTTGTTCTAGGACATTAAACCCATCAGCAGTGACCCCTCTGGTGATTTCTGAAGAGTTGACGTGTCTGAAAAACGATGGTTGTTACCAAGTGGCTGAATAGGACTACAGAAGTCGTGGAGGTCGTTGTACGTCATTACGCCGAACACGTAAACACTCCTCTAAGTTAGTTAGCCCTGTTCTGCTTGAAAGCAAGTCCCTGCCTCCTGCAAACTGTTCAAACAAACGCTTCACTCGTTCCATTTAGAATCTGTGTGTTTGAATATGGATCTGAAGTTGGCGTGACGTTGAAGTCGTGCTGCTGGACTCGCCTGTAGTTCCTTTATAGCATCAACGTTAGCATTTAGCTTCTGGACATTAGAGTTATGATTAGAACATTATAAAAGTAGGGAAGACATGTGGAGATTATCCGGCTGAACAAAACGTGACCCGTCTCTTCAATGCTGTCTCAACCACAGACCTGATTTGAGCTATTTTCCAAAACCCTATGGAGAGATTGCATTGCGTTTTTGTCGAGGGGAACCGGACGGAGTTTACTTCCGGGTTTTAGGACGCGTCACTACTGCGGCACGCTATACAAATACATTTAAGACCTAAACACTTCCTAAAGTCATGGTGTGAAAACATCCCGTGATCTCAGACGTTCAGAGCATTTAACATTAAACTCACAGGAACATCTTTCTCTCTCTCGTAGAGTATGAAAGCCAAGGTGAACCTTCACAGGTGAGACTTCTTCAAATCACACGCAGATAATCACCAGACCACCAGATGTGTGTCCATTGTAAAGAGACTCTGTGTGTGTGTGCGTGTGTGTGTGTGTGTGTGTGTGTGTGTGTGTGTGTGTGTGTGTGTGTGTGGGGGGTGTGGTGTGTGGTGGGTGTGTGTGTGTGTGTGTGTGTGTGTGTGTGTTCCCATCAGTTGCCAGTAAAACTTGAATCTGACATCGTCTCCAGCCCTCCAGTCCCTCACTTCCTCTCATCCCAGTGAGAACACATCATGAAATATTATCTACAAAAGATACACGTGGTCATTTCAAGAGACGTCGTGAGAACACAAATACAACAAAGTCACCTCTGGTCGTTATTTTCTGTTTTAATTCTGTAAGACCTATGTAGCAGAAGTTGTGTGGTGTTGTATAAAGCACGGGCTGCTCTGTGAAGTGTCTTTTTTGCAATTCAGAGAGCTTAGTATAGAATGAAAACCTATTAATAATGTGGATTATCTTTGATCAGGCAGCGGAGGAGAAGGCCTGACCCCCCCCCCCTCACTGACAGAACCCCCGAGTCCTTCATCCTCCTCCCACAGAGCGTGAGTTCAAACCTATAAGCAAACCTGACCTAATCATTATTATTATTTGTGTGACTAACTCCCCCCTCTCCCTGCAGCAGTTCCAGCGCCCACCCCCCAAGCAGACGTCCCCACTCCAGCAGACGCCCCCTCCCCAGCAGACGCCCCCTTGCCCCCCCCTCAGGTGGGACGCTCCTCAGAGTGGGACGGGACGTCTCAGCCCAAAAGGTTCCTGGAGGTGGTTGTTGAGCCGCAGCAAGGTGAGCACTGAAGTGACTGACTCTGCACCACGAGTCCTATTTCCTATAGTGTCTCTAATTATACTGTTTAATACCTCATGTTGTCCCCATATATACTGTTCATACTGTTTTCAAATGATCTTGTGTATATCTGTCATACGTTGATACTCTGCTTCTTTTGCTCGTCTGAATCGCTTCTGATTGAATCTAAATCTAATCCTGATAGCATTTATTTGAACGCTGTGAATGATCCATTTCCTTCTTTAGAGTCTCTTTATTATCGCTGCCTTTTGTTTGATTGTATACTCAGGACAGAAAATGTTGTATAAAATAAAACTCCTGAACTCATTTCAGTGCTTTGACATGAGTTCTTATTTGATGAGACTTTAAACTTTTGTTCTTGCGAATGTTTCCCACAGAGCGTCCGAGCTAAGAGTTCCCGACAAGGTAAGAGATGTCCTTTCATTTCAACCCTACCTGGCATTTAAAGGGTTACAGTCATGTGATGCTAGATTAAGAACGAGTCACATGTTCCTTTACGATGAAGAACATATCAATGAGACAGTTTTCACATCAAAGTCAAACCTCTCTTTTCAAAAGAAACGTCTGCAGATTGTTCCGTAAATCAGGTGCAGAGAATATATGAGTTCATTGTTTTCAGATCGTTACACCTGTTTACCCGTCTATTTGAAAAAACCCCACACCACACTCTGTAGTTTGTAAGATAAGAGAAGAAGAACTCATTCATCCCAAATTGGGAAATGTTGCGTTGCAGCAGCAGAACAATCAAACAAGGCATAGGTAGAAATTAAAATGTAGTCAAACATCTGGAAATAGAATTAAAACGGCGTTAAACACCCGGACACAAAAACACACACACACAAATACACAAAAACACAAATACACAAATAAATAATTACACCAAACACAAACAAACTTTAGACACGATATGAAGCAGGATGTTATTCACATTGAGATGATGATGGATTGTATATGTAGGATTAATAATTGTGGTAACAAGTTGTTTTGGCAACCGTCTCTCAAACTGGAGCCGGTTGGTGCGGGACTATTTTCCTGTGGCGGATGTGGTGCATTAGTGAGGATCAGGTGGATGTGGGTTTGTATACATGTCGTGCTCATGTCCATCATAATAAAGAAAGTGTCAGTCATGGTTTTAACAGGTTCAGTTTAGCGGAGTCTAACTATTCCTTTGTTGCCTTTAATCCACACGTTGATCACATTTCCCAGAGTGCATTGCTTTGAGTAAACCCAGCAGCATGTTAGTGTTCTGCACCACAGGAGGCCTTCTCTACGGAGGCGAACACTTGATCAATGTGAACACTGATCTGGATTGTGTGTTTGTGCTGCAGAGCCCTCTCGGTGTTCCAGCAGGCCCCCGCCCCCCCCGGCTGCAACAGGAAGTGGTGAGCAGCTTCACTCGATATATAAATAACCTCAATGTGCAAAGTAACTAAAGCTGCTAATGAAGTACAAGTACCTCCAATTGTACACTAAGTTCACAACTTATGTATGTCCAGATACAAGAAGAGCAGAGACTCTGTTGAATAAATGAAGTGGAGTCAGAGGTGAAGTAACTGAGTACATTTACTCAAGTACTGTTACTCAAGTACACGATCTGAGTACTTCTACTTTTACTACAAGATCTGAGTACTTCTACTTTTACTACAAGATCTGAGTACTTCTACTTTCACTACAAGATCTGAGTACTTCTACTTTTACTACAAGATCTGAGTACTTCTACTTTCACTACAAGATCTGAGTACTTCTACTTTTACTACAAGATCTGAGTACTTCTACTTTCACTACAAGATCTGAGTACTTCTACTTTTACTACAGGATCTGAGTACTTCTACTTTTACTACAGGATCTGAGTACTTCTACTTTCACTACAAGATCTGAGTACTTCTACTTTTACTACAGGATCTGAGTACTTCTACTTTTACTACAGGATCTGAGTACTTCTACTTTTACTACAGGATCTGAGTACTTCTACTTTTACTACAAGATCTGAGTACTTCTACTTTCACTACAAGATCTGAGTACTTCTACTTTTACTACAGGATCTGAGTACTTCTACTTTTACTACAAGATCTGAGTACTTCTACTTTTACTACAAGATCTGAGTACTTCTACTTTCTACACAAGATCTGAGTACTTCTACTTTTACTACAGGATCTGAGTACTTCTACTTTTACTACAGGATCTGAGTACTTCTACTTTTACTACAAGATCTGAGTACTTCTACTTTCACTACAGATCTGAGTACTTCTACTTTACTACAATATCTGAGTACTTCTACTTTTACTACAGGATCTGAGTACTTCTACTTTTACTACAGGATCTGAGTACTTCTACTTTTACTACAAGATCTGAGTACTTCTACTTTTACTACAGGATCTGAGTACTTCTACTTTTACTACAAGATCTGAGTACTTCTACTTTTACTACAGGATCTGAGTACTTCTACTTTTACTACAAGATCTGAGTACTTCTACTTTCACTACAAGATCTGAGTACTTCTACTTTTACTACAAGATCTGAGTACTTCTACTTTCACTACAAGATCTGAGTACTTCTACTTTTACTACAAGATCTGAGTACTTCTACTTTCACTACAAGATCTGAGTACTTCTACTTTTACTACAAGATCTGAGTACTTCTACTTTTACTACAGGATCTGAGTACTTCTACTTTTACTACAAGATCTGAGTACTTCTACTTTTACTACAAGATCTGAGTACTTCTACTTTTACTACAAGATCTGAGTACTTCTACTTTTACTACAAGATCTGAGTACTTCTACTTTCACTACAAGATCTGAGTACTTCTACTTTTACTACAAGATCTGAGTACTTCTACTTTTACTACAGGATCTGAGTACTTCTACTTTTACTACAAGATCTGAGTACTTCTACTTTTACTACAGGATCTGAGTACTTCTACTTTTACTACAGGATCTGAGTACTTCTACTTTTACTACAAGATCTGAGTACTTCTACTTTCACTACAAGATCTGAGTACTTCTACTTTTACTACAAGATCTGAGTACTTCTACTTTTACTACAGGATCTGAGTACTTCTACTTTTACTACAGGATCTGAGTACTTCTACTTTTACTACAAGATCTGAGTACTTCTACTTTCACTACAAGATCTGAGTACTTCTACTTTCACTACAAGATCTGAGTACTTCTACTTTTACTACAATCTGAGTACTTCTACTTTTACTACAAGATCTGAGTACTTCTACTTTCACTACAAGATCTGAGTACTTCTACTTTCACTACAAGATCTGAGTACTTCTACTTTTACTACAAGATCTGAGTACTTCTACTTTTACTACAAGATCTGAGTACTTCTACTTTCACTACAAGA